CCTGTCGGAGGTCAGTTGTACTGTTGACCTCCTCCTATGCATATGTACTCTCGGCAGGTCGATACAACCCTAGTCTTACCTTCACTGACAATGTAGATCTCACGGACCCCATCTTATCCCGTTTCGATGCTCTATGTGTGATACGAGATGAGATAGATATATTCCAAGATGAGCGTCTGGCCGACTTTGTCGTCTGTACCCATATGCAAAACCATCCCCGTGAGCCCAACGACAACGTGAGGCCTCGGAACCAGGAGACGGAAGCGCTATACGAACCCATCGATCAAGACCTTCTGAGGAAATATATTCTCTATGCAAGGTAGGGACATTCTTCATGTTGTCATCTATTAGTGCTGAGCTGCTGATGCTGCTGCCCTCTAGGACGAGTGTATTCCCCAAGATATCGGATGTGGATGCAGACAAGTTGGCCAACTTCTACAAGGAAATCAGATCAGCTGCCTCTGATAGTCACGGGCTTCCCATGACGGTAGATACAATCCCTGCCATGGATGGATGACGACGATGGCTATGTATCCCCTTGCCAGGTCAGGCATATAGAGTCGATGATCCGTATGGCTGAGGCAAGTGCTAAGATGGAGCTTAGAGACTATGTCACCAGTAAGGACATTGATCATGCCATAGCCACTATGCTGGTAGTGCACCAATCTACCTGCTAGTGCTAGATCGGCGACACTCTCTTCAGAGTTCCTTCATTATGACGCAGAAGCATGCTGTTGCCGAGAGGCTCCGTCGGAGGTTCGAAGCCAAATACATCTCGAGTGTAGCAGATCATAATGAACTACTTCACTTCATGCTTAGGAAAATGTTCAAGTACTCTATCAACTACCTTGCTAGCCTTTTTGTTATCACCTTTCCTCTACCAGACAACAGATGGATTTGGTCTTGCTCACGACTGGTATTGGTAGAGATGCAGCAGATGTTGACGATGCGGACATACCCGAGATAACAATTGATAAGGCAGCTTTCATTGTGAGGGGGCTTCTGTCCCCCCTCTTCAGTACTCGCTATTCCCTTTCAGCATGAGGCTCAACAAGCTGATTTGAGGAACGTTCGAGAGTATATGGAATCGGCCCTGTTCGCTGAGG